TATTGGTACCCCAGTATGCTGTAGATGAGGAGATGAGGAAGACTAGATACCACTACATGCTTAGATCAGATATCAGAGAGCTTGTTAGTTTTTCAGCCTGTCTGACATTGGAGGACATGATATCTAGGGCCCGAGATTAGGAAATTGATTTAGAGCACATCGGGAAGAGGAAAGATGAGAAGGTGCAGACGATTGGGGTTTCAGCAAAGAAAACCAAGGTTTTCGAGTCTGGATTGAGGGGCCATCAGGGTCAGGGCCGTTGTGGCAAGTGCGACAGGATGCATGATGAGTGGTTCAGTCTGCTTCAAGTGCACCAAGACAGGGCGCATGAGCAAGGATTGCACTGCCACCATCACCACCCATGTTTCAGGTCTGATCTGCTTTCATTGCAATAAGAAGGGCCATAAGAAGGCCGAGTGCCCAAGATTTACAACATGAGCTAACGCAGCACCCGCTCCAACGACATTGAGGATCACTGATGGCCGGGAGGGTAAGCAAGCGACCCTTATAGTGAAGAGTAGGAATTTTCATCTAACAGTCGAGGAGGCGCGTGCGACTCCTGACGTGGTAACGGGTAGGTTTTCTATTCATTTATGCGCTTTCATTATTATTTATGCTTATGTTTTATATTGTGACTTTCTTAGTGAAGGGATTGCCTGCTCTGGTTCTTTTTGATTCGGGCGCTACCTGATCATTTGTATCTCTTGCGCTCAGCAAGAGGTTTGTTGATGCTCATGTGGAGTTGTATTATCTGTTGGAATTGGAGATAGCCGATGATTGTTTTGTAACGAACCAATTTTCAAAAGAAATTTTTAATTTTTAATTAACCAAAACACGTTCCACCAATCATGTAATCTCAAATACAATTGTTTTCAATTTCATAACAACAACATGTTTTATTTTAAGACATCAGAGTGTCCCAAGGTAACAACTGAGAGAGAATGAACGTCGCGCCCTCAAGCCTTGCCCTTGCCTTTGGGCTCAGATGTACCTGAAACAAATCCACAAACTGTAAGCTAATGGTTAGTGAGTTCCCCAGAGCATACCCCACACACAATCCACATATCACATATCATATTAGCTCTAGAAGCTACATATATAACATAAGCCATGCATACAACAAATAGGGATGTCATGGGCTCGTGCCCAGGGTCTTACTCCAGGATGCCATGGGCTCCCAACATGGTCTTACACCTGAGTGTCATGGGCTCTCCCATGGTCTTCAATAGGAAAGCCATGGGCTCTCCAGATGGTCTTACGTCAAAGTGCCATGGGCTCTCCCACGGTCTTCCATACAAGCATACCATATATACCACTAGCATACTTCCTAACTCATACCAACTAACATGCCAGATAATACAACTTCTGCTAGGATACCACATATCATAAAATGAGTCGGCCTTAGTGCCTTAGACCCATTGGTATGGTGAGGAGACTCACCTCTCGAATGCTGAACTGACAAGCTAAGATCAGATGTATCCCCCGCACTGCTCCTCCTCAACTGCCTATAACCAACATGTGATTAACTTGTCACAATCCCATAATTACCCTCAAAGTCAACCCTGGTCATAGTCAAGGTCAACAGTCAAGGTCAACAGTCCATGTTGACCTCAAATTGTCGAGTGCATCATAACAACTCGTCGAGTTCCTACCGAGTCCATTCCACTGAATCTCGCATCAACTCGCCGAGTCACCCTAGTGACTCGTCGAGTTCGTCAAATGTCCAGAAAACTAAAGTCGGTTCAGACCAACACCCTAATCCTTCACTGCACTCATTCAGAAACTCAGAAACGTGCAAACCCTACCCCGACTCGTCGAGTCAGCTAAGGGAGTCGACGAGTTCCTTTAGTCCCTTTAAAGTTCAACCCTTTTCAGTGGGATCTAAGGTCCCAAACTCCAGATCCAAACTTCCCTAGTGCAGATACCACGTAAATTTGCAAACTTAACGTGCATGCAAGGCCCTTCAAGGCTATAACACCGAAACCAGGCTTCTTACAAGGTTTTTGTGCATGGAAAAGGGCTAAGCTATATAAAATGAGAAACTTTATGTCATTGGGGACCTAGAGAGGTCCAAATCTGGAACCATATCCTTGTGATAAGTCCAGATCCGAGTTTGACTCCATTTTGCACCAAAAATGGTCATTTACTTCCAAGAAAAGGGATCTAATCAACTAGAGATCAAGGTGACGACTTTATACCTCAAGATGATGGCCAATACATAGTAGATGTTGGATCTATTGTTTCTATCCTTGCTCCTTCCTCTTCAAGCTCTAGAATCCTTCACAAATACCCCAAAATTGCTCACAAAAGTTCTTACTCTCACTCAAGAAGGTGCAAGGCCGAATTAGGGTTTTCTCTGGCTAATAGGGTGATAAGGGAGGCCACAAGAGGCGGATTATGTTCTTTAAATAGGGTGCAAACCCTAAAAATTAGAGTTTCTCTTTACAGCTCCTAGTCGTCGAGTTGGGGCCTTCCGACTCGTCGAGTAGAACCCAAATCCCGCGTCCTCATAATAGTCTGTACTCGACGAGTTGGAGCACCCCAACTCGCCGAGTCCATGCGCAAAACCCTAAAAATTATATAAATTAATCAATACCTGGAACAGGTGTTATAAGTATTCCACTACTAGAAAACAGCCCTTTAATGACGCGCAAACAATGACACACACTGATAGAGGACACACATTTGTGCGTGCCCTAAAAATTAATGTCAGTTTTCCAAAATTTTAAGGATAGAGGACACGCATTTATGTGTGCCCTAAAATTAGTGTCAGAAAAGAAAAAAAAAGAAATGCGGAGGGTGCTTTTCACAAAATGGTCGTCATGTAAATGTGTCGCTTTATAATTTTTTAATGAAACACGCGTTTTAGGCGGGAAATGAAATCGACGAAAATTACCCCCGCCTATTGGATTCCAAAAATTAAACCCCCCGCCTCTTCGACTTAGCAAGAAAAAGCCCTAGGGCCTTCTTCTTCATCTTCAGCAGTGGGAATACCTAGGTCGATTCTTCAGGGTTCAACAACAGATTTATAAACAGCAAACGTATACGATTCTGGATCTCGGCCATGATTATAGCGCTTTGGAGCCGGCGACGTGAACATCATTCGTGAACATTTTTCATTTCCATCTTTCAACATTTCCATATTTTAGTCTTCACAAATCGACAAGGGGCCTCCGCAATCAAGTTGTTTCATCTTCATCTCGCTTTGGTGAAGAGAGCGATATATACGTAAGCGACTGAGAGAAGAAGAAAAAAGGGAAATCTTATCATTTTTGTGTGATTTTGGATATTCCCTAAGACCTGAGTCGCCCCATCCTTCGCAAGAAACTCACAAACATGTCTATAATTTAAAGAAAGATTATTGTAAGTTTTCATTCTTATCATTTTTTCTTCTCCTGTTTATGTTAGTTCTAAAGGGTTTTTCTCTAAGAATGGATTTCCACAACAACTGGTTAAATGGATGGTTAGGGTTCTGTATTGAGTTTCTGCAGGTACTTAGAATGGATTACGAGATTTCTCTCTCTCTCTCTCTCTCTCTCTCTCTCTCACTCACACTCTTTCTTGTCAATAGAAGACATGAACTTCAATTTTGCTGTAATATTTTCATGATAAACGTGAGAGCTTCAAATAAGTTAATTTTTTAGGCATAATAGGTTTGTGATTAAGAAGAGTTACAACTAAAATTTTGGACAAAAATGAATCAGTTGAGATCAAAGTACTGATGCGGCATATCATAAAGAATACAATGTACTGTATAAGTTTTTCTTATCATAAACTATATAATGGTTGTTTTTCTTAATCTGAATGAGTTGTTGTTGATTCCTCTCGTGAAGATGACGAGATAAAAGATCTAGTGATTCTAGCTATGAATTTATTTCTATACAATAAAACAAGGTCCTCAAAGATATACTCTATTGACTCTGTCAAGGAATACAAACTGACATCCTTAATAAACTGAAACTGGTTTATGTAGCTCCTAAGTCACTGTTGGTTTCTTTCTTTCTTCCAGATTGAGGAGACCTACAATTTTTGACAAGACGATCTCTACATGTGATGACTGTAGACAATCAATATATTGAGTGGCTTGGAAACAATTAGTTTGTTGCTGAGTGGAGGTATGGAAACCGATCATGGGAGCAACAATAATAGGTTGACAAACAAAACAATTCTTGTCCAGGTTAATTTTAAATCTTCTATTTATTTTCATAAATATAAAAGTCTAGACTTTATGCATCATCTGTTACGAAATTATCCAATTCCCCGTTTTACTTCAATTGGTGTTTGTGTTTGTTACAGCTACTCAATACAAGATTGTGCTTCAGTATTCACACTTTGTTATATCTAGTGTTGCTGCTACTCATTTTCCTACCCATTTGATATGGTTTGGTGTATTTTCTGAGAAAATAGAGAGTTATCATTCCACTTTTGAGGTCATACCATGCGATTCAACTTCTAAAACGATATAAGTTGCATAAAACTTTAACAATTGTATAAACTCTATAATCCAGTCGCAAGATTACTGCAATTAGAATATGTAATTGTTATATTTTAACCTCAGAAGTCAAAGATTTTGAAAATTTATAAAGGAAATCAAGGGTCTTGGTTCTTTTAGTATTTGAGTCTCCTTCGATGCAGGGTTAAATGAATTATATATTGGGAAACTAGATAGAAATATTATAGTAGATCCAAGCATTCACTTGTTACACATCTTAATAAATATAAAAGATGGGTTGCTGTGTGAGTGTGTACAACTTGAAACTTTCACAGATTGTCTGAATCAACACCCATGGATTATGTTTTCCATAAACCCCTTTGTTTGGATAATGGATATCAATCTTTTGTAAAATATCTTATTTGAATATCATTTGATTGTCTGTCAGTTTTTTTGTATCCAGTTTTTATGTGATTTATCAAGTATCAAGGGAAATATTCTTTATTTTAGTAGTTCTTTATTCCCTGTGTCTCACATATTCCTTTTTTCAGCTGAAAAATGCACACAAATGGTTGGAGAAACCGGATCATCCCAAAGTGGAAAGTTCACCATTTTCAACTGTTTAGATGGGGGTTCAGGAACATTAGCACGCATAGTAAAAGAAAGTGTGAAACTTTACACATACAACATCAGAACACTTCACGTTGAAGTAGCAAGAAACAACGCAATCGAAGCATCACTAGCAGATGCAATTTCACAAGGCATGGAATCCAAAGCTGCTGCAAAACAAGCCCAAAAAGATGGAGCGAAAGCTGCAAAAATGGCAACCCGGAAAGCTAAACGGATCATTGGCCCGATTATTTCTTCCGGGTGGGATTTCTTTGAAGCCATTTATTATGGAGGAACTGTGACTGAAGGGTTTCTTGGGGGTACAAGAATATTGTTTGGGACTTATTTTGTTGGTTATTTAGGGGAAGAAAGGTATGGGCGTCTTGGGTATTTGGTTGGAAGTGAATATTGAAGTTGGATTGGTGGAAGGTATGGGCGTTTTGGGTATTTTGTTTGTGTAATTTTTCAAAATTATGGTTGGTGGATTGAGCTGACAGATATTTATTTTCTAACTTACATAGGGGATTTGTCCAGCAGTGTCGAGAAAAAGTATAAATCAATGAAGCAGCTCGTGCAGGGTTAGTAGGTCTCTCTCTCTCTCTCTCTCTCTCTCTCTCTCCCCCTCTCTCTCAGTCTCTTGACCGATTCCCATTTCTTTCAAAACATTTTGCCAAAAATCTACAATGCATCATCTTTGTTGAAGAATTTACCTTAAGACCTCTCTTATGGATTTTACCACTAATAGGTGGTGACATATAGGACATTTTATTTTATTTATATTATTTCACAGACAGATAAAATAGAGATGCGGTTAAAAGTGGTGAAACTGGTGGGAGAGATTTTTTGCATCCCAGGATCCATGATTCCTGAGACAGTTCAGCCAATCCTTTTGGAGTTTTTAAGGAGGCCGACTGATAGAGTTGTTGAGGTTCGAATGTCTGTTCTTGAACATGTCATGCTTTCTATGTTATCCAATCCTTTTAGACCAGAATCTCCCCAGATAATTGGTAATTCCTCATTTATTATTATTATTATTATTATTATTATTATTATTATCATCATCATCGTCGTCGTCGTCGTCGTCGTCGTTATTATTATTATTATACAATTTCATTATTCAGATACTTACTTGATATATATATATATATACATATATATATATATATATATATATATATATATATATATATATATATATATATATATATGATTTTTTTTGTTAGGTGCTCTGTGTGTCCGACTGTTGGATTATGATGAAACCATACACCAAAAGCTGGTTGCAGTGGTGTCTCACATTGCATGCCATGAGTTATCTTCTATTTCTACCAAATCCATAAAGCTTCTAGCTAATCGACTTCGTGACAAATCTGTAATTATATATAAACTCTCTTTTCTTACTTTCCAACAAGAAATAGCAATGCACTTTGTTAGTTTGTTTATATAGTACTTTTAGGTATGTTTCTTTTCTAGTCAAAATAAACAAGAAAATGTTTGTATGAGACTAAATCACTAAATGACCATTTTACCCTTACATTTATTTTTTGCAGGATAGAAGCACAATAGTTTTGGATCGACACCTTCTAGCAGAAGATATCGTATACATGTTCTTTTGCTGCTATTGTGGATTCGGGAACATCCTTGCTTACTGGTCTAACTGTATGTATCTCACGTGAAGCTTCTGTTAGAACTATTAATCTCAGGGATTTCAAGTTTTTCATATTTCTTGTATCTAATTAGTTTGTAAATTTCTGTTACAACTTCTATTGATTTGTTCCATGGAACGATTATTTGTATGACATTAATTTTATGCAATGGATTGTATTTTTTGTATATTATATTTTATTTTCTATTATGACACATTAAATGAAAATTTAATTTGAAAATTAGTAAATCTATAAATAATATTTTTTTAAACATTTAAAATTACGATACGCAAAAATGTGTGTCATCTTCATTTATGACATGGCCTTTCTTGATAGGGGCTTTAACGATACGCAATGCGAGTCGTATACGTGCGTCGTAAATTTACGACACGCAAATGTGTGTCATCCTCTTTATGACAGGGCCTTCCTTGACATGCATTGCGTGTCGTAAGCGCGCGTCGTAAATGCGCGTCGTAAATAGACGACGCGCAAAAGCGTGTCGTCTCTCGTTATGACAGGGCCTTCCTTGACACGCATTTGCGCGTCGTCTGAGCGTTTTACGACACGCATTGCGCGTCGTAAAAGGCTGTTTTTCTAGTAGTGTTCGCCACTTGAACTAGACTTCGTCCTCGAAGTCTGCTGACCCAAACAAATCCGGTTAGTGGTCTCGCATCTCGTCCTCCGGCTCCAAGTCCACTCGGAGCCCCTGTGGTGCTGCCATTGCACCTTTACCAGCTTCACTTCCTTGTTCCGAAGAACCTTAGTCTTCCTATCTAAGATTGCAACCGACCTCTCAATGTAGTTCAGGCTCTCATCCACCTGAATGTCGTCCAGAGAAACGACTGCGGCCTCGTCGGTGACATACTTCCGAAGCTATGATACATGGAAGGTGTTGTGAATCTGGCTAAGCTCATCCGGCAGATCCAAGCGATAGGCCACCTTGCCCACCCGGGCCGTAATCTTGAACGGTCCTATATATCGGGGCCCTATCTTGCCTCACTTCCGAAACATGATGAATCCCTTCCATGGCAACACCTTTAGTATCACAAAGTCCCCCACCTGGAACTCAAGATCCGATCGCCGCCGGTCAGCATAACTTTTCTAGACGACTATGTGCGACCCGCAGCCGGTCGCGCACCTGCTGAATCAACGTGGTAGTCTTGAGCACTACCTCAGTGCTCCCCATGACCCGATGTCCAACCTTGCCCCAACAAACCGGGGTCCTACACCTACGACCATACAACATCTCAAACGGGGGTCGGTAGATACTGGCATGGTAACTATTATTGTATGAAAACTCTGCCAATGGAAGGTACGTATCCCAACTCCCTCCAAAATCCAACACACATGCCCTCAACATATCCTCAAGTGTCTGGATCGTCATCTCACTCTGGCCATCTGTCTGGGGGTGGTACGCCGTGCTAAAATGCAACTGAGTGCCCAACTCCTCGTGGAACTTCTTCCAGAACCTAGATATAAACCGAACATCCCTATCAGAGACTACTGACACTGGCTCCCCGTGTTTGGCCACCACCTCTCGCACATAAATATCCGCCATCTTTTCAGCGGATATACTCTCAGAGATCGGAACAAAGTGGGCACTCTTCGTCAACCTGTCCACAATCACCCATATGGCCTCCACACCCCTAGCTGTCCTCGGTAACTTCATGATAAAATCCATAGTGATCTCCTCCCACTTCCACATGGGAATGGGTAGCAGTTGTACCATGCCATGAGGCCGTTGATGCTCGGCCTTGACCTTCCTGCAGGTCAAGCACCGTTCCATGCAGGGCCACCGGTAACTCAGTCTCAAATCTCTATACATTTTCGTAGCCCCCAGATGTATAGAGAACTTGGACTTGTGTGCCTCCTCCAATATCTTCTGTCTCACTCCTCCAGCCGCCGGTACCCACACCCGACCACACTGTGTCAGAAGACCTCGTCTATCCTTAACAAATAAAGGACACTGTCCCCGAATCCACTCTATCTTCTAATTTTCCTTCTTCACACCCTCGACCTGGGACTCCTTGACCATATCCAACAATGGAGAGATCACCGTTATCCTCAAACAAACGTTCCCAATCGGGGAACCTGCCGCCTTGCGGCTCAAAGCATCAGCCACCATGTTGGCCTTCCCTGGATGGTACAAGATCTCACAGTAATAATCTTTCAGCACATCCAACCACCTCCTCTGCCGCATGTTGAGGTTCTGCTGATCCATCAAGTACTTCAAACTCTTGTGATCAATATAAATAGTGCACCGTACCCCATACATATAGTGCCTCCAAATATTAAGGGAAAACACCACTGCCCCCAATTCCAGGTCGTGAGTGGGGTAATTCGCCTCATGAGGCTTCAATTGCCTCGAGGCGTAAGTTATCACATGCCCCCTCTGCATCAGTACTGCGCCTAACCCTGAGATCGATGCATCACAGTATACCACCAAATCTTCTGACCCCTCATGTAGCACTAGAATCGGAGCCTCGCATAACCTCCGTCTCAGGGTCTCAAAAGCCAACTGATGATCCTTGCCCCACCGGAATGTCACATTCTTCTTGGTCAAGCGAGTGAAAGGCACAAAAATCTTGGAGAAATCATGTATGAATCTCCGATAAGAACCCGCTAGACCCAAGAAGCTACAAATTTCGGAAGCATTCTTTGGCACTTCCCACCGCATCACTGCCTCAACCTTGGATGGATCAACCGAAATTCCCTCCTGGTTGATGATGTGCCCCAAAAACTGTACCTCCCACAGCCAGAAATCACACTTGGAGAACTTGGCATACAGTCTCTCCGCCCTCAGGGTCTCCAATACATCCCTTAGATGTTGCTCATGTTGCTCCTTGGTCTTAGAATAGACCAGGATATCATCAATAAAAACGATCACCGACCGATCCAGCATCGGTCTACACACCCTGTTCATGAGATCCATGAACGCTGCTGGGGCATTGGTGAGCCCAAATGGCATCACCACAAACTTATAGTGTCCATACCGAGTCCTGAAAGCTGTCTTCGGTATATCCTCATCCTCGATCCTCATCTGATGGTATCCCGACCGAAGATCAATCTTGGAAAACCAAGACGCGCCCTGCAGCTGGTCGAACAAATCGTCGATCCTCGGTAACGGATAACAGTTGTTCACCGTTAGTTTGTTCAGCTCTCGGTAATGAATACACATCCTGTGTAACCCATCCTTCTTTTTCACGAACAAGATCGGAGCTCCCCACGGGGAACTGCTCAGTCGGATAAACCCTCGGTCTAGCAGCTCCTATAGCTACGTAGATAACTCCTGCATCTCGGGCGGTGCTAACCGGTACGGTGCCTTGGCTATCGAAGCGGAACCCGACACCAAATCAATGCGAAACTCCACCTACCTCTCCAGAGGCACTCCTGGTAACTCTTCGAGAAAGACATCCCGAAACTTCTGCACAACCAGTACACTGCCCACATCCGCCGTGAGCTCAACCCTCGTATCCTAGATATAAGCCAGAAATCTCGTACATCCCTGCTGCAAAAATCTCCTTGCCTTCGCAGCTGAACAGAGGGTCGGCCCCTGCGAGGCCCTCTCACCATGAATAAACATTTCTCCCCCACTTGGGGTTCAAACCCTTACCAACTGGCGCTCACAATCGATCATGGCCCCTAACCACTCCATCCCGACAATCACCTTCAATCCTAGCAACGATATCATGAATAGATCAACACGAAACCTCTCCCCAAGCACATTCAGGACACAATCCCGATACACCCTCGCAACACTAATGGTGCA